CGCTTTGGAAAGGTCAATAAATAGAGCTGCACAACTCTGCTTATTATCTAAAATACTTGTAATGTCATTCACCACTTTCATTGTGGCAGTGATGGTGCTATGTTGCTTTCTGAAGCCTGACTGATGTTTAGACAGGATGTCATTGTTACATAGAAACTCCTTTACCTGTTCACTCACTAGGCGTTCAAGAACCTTAGCCAGAACTGACCATTTAGAGATTGGCCTATAGTTATTTAAAACAGTTGCCTCCCCTCCTTTCAGCAAAGGCAGGACATACGCTGACTTCCACAATTTTGGAATTGTGTTTGTGCTGAGGGAGAGGTTAAAAAGAGAAGTGAGAGGTGGAGCAATACAATCTGCAGCTATCTTTAAAAAGAAAGGTTCTACGTTGTCCGGGCCGGCCGGTTTCTTAGGATCTAACTTAGATAATGCTTCACGAACAACATCAACAGTAAAAGGAGTAAAACTGAAAGGGTTTTCCAGACCACATTGTTCAGAGTCACAGACTGTGGTGTTCACAGAAGCAGAGTTAGTCACAGAATCAAACAGAGAGCCACAGGACACAACATGCTCATTAAAGCAATGTAACATAGGTGGCCCTGTCCGATATAGAGCCAGATGCTGTGGTAAGGCACGGAGGTAGCTCATTACGGATCTCACCGGTGGATAGCGATTTTATGGCTTTCCAAAATGTTCTAGGATTATTCAGGTTTTCTGTGGAAACTGACAAATAGTACTTTGACTTAGCACTTTTGACATGTGAAGTGAAGCTATTTCTTAGCTGCCTAAAACGCAGCCATTCTACCTCTGAGCCTGATTTCCTAGCCTTTGCCCAGGCCTTGTTTCTCTCATGCAGGAGACTGGACAGTTCAGCAGGAAACCAAGGATTGTCTCGTCCCTTTACTCTAAATGTACGTAGGGGTGCATGTCTATCTATGATCTCCATAAAACCAAGATAAAAATAAGACCATGCAGTTTCTACATCAGCACACAGATCGATTTTTCCCCAATCAAACCCAAACAGATCATGAACAAAACCCTGCTCCACAAAATGTTTATGTGTCTCTTAATAATAATACGAGGTTTAACCTTTTGGACCTTAGTGTCCCTAATTGTGGCTACAGCACAGTGGTCACTCACATCATTCACAAAGACTCCCACAGATGGGTATTTATAGGGAACATTAGTTAGAATGAGATCAATTAGGGAGGATTTATTAGGGGACTTAACGTTAGGGCGAGTAGGACTGTCAACAATCTGAGTAACATTCAGAGAGATACAAAGGTTTTTAAAATCCTCTGATACTGCAGTTAACCAGTCCCAGTTCAAATCTCCAAGCAGCACTATTTCCTTGTAGTCAAGTTGAGATAAAAGATTAGCCAACAAAGACAAGGAGTCCTTGCCAGCTGAGGGGGTCTGTAACAGCCCACCACCATGACCTGTTGCTCCTCATGGATTTCTTCTGGTCGGGTCATCACTGGGTGCCAGCATCGGTCCTGTACCTACCTGTGGCGGAGGGGGGGCAGGGCCTCGTGGACATTACTGCGAGGACTGCTGCTTTTAGACTGCAGGCAGCTCAGCGGCTGCTGTATGATGCCTCTCCCTGCTGACTGGCTATGGCCCGGCTGTTGCTCTGGAGGGCAGGGGGCTTTGGTTTGGATAAACACCTGTTTCTGCTGAAGGCCCCTGCGTACAAGATAACTGGACTTACACCTTTTTACTGCTCAGTCATCAATGCCTGGAAGATTCTGAGTTTCACCAGACCACCCGACCCCCGGCCTGGGATGTGGCTGTTTGAGGAGCCACTGTTTGACACTGGTTTTCTTTCTGGAACCCTTTTCTCTTCAGCCATCCTAAAGAACGCGTTCATCGAAGCGGGAGTGGTCAAACTTGGCCATTTGACGGGGGTCTCCACAGAAACACCGGCTGAGGTGACGGGCATTCGATCAACCCGAGTTCTGGAGAACTTGGTAGATGAGGTGTGGCAGTCGCTGTCCTGCGGTGGGGGAATGGAGAGAGGAGGATGGTCTCCTGCTATCACTGGGGACTCTAACACCTGGAACGTTCAGCTCCTGCAATGGGAAGCAGCTTTACCTTAGCTGCGTAAAGGTGCTAAACATCAGCTCGCTCGCAGGCGTCAGAGAGTCGAGGTGGACGGATGTGTTTGGCTTGGGCTCTTCCCCTCAGGGCAGCTGGAGGGTCCTGTAGAAAGCTCCGGTTGAGAAACGGATGGCAGACATCCAATGGAGAATCATACACGGAGCAATAGCTACTAACAAATACAGAGCTCATTTTGACCCGGGCCCAAGGGGGCGCTGTCCGTTCTGTTTTATAGCAGAAACATTGGAGCATTTAGTGGTGTCCTGTCCCAGATTAGCTGGTCTAAAACAAATGTTACAGGAGTGGGTGGAAGGGTTGGGGAGGTTTTCTCCATAGCACTTTGTGTCCTTGGCCCCAAATACACCCTGAAAAAGAGGGAAACTTTAGTACTGATACATTTCTTGTTTGCTAATGCAAAATGAGCGATCTGGAAAAGTAGAAAGAACCAAGTTGCTGGAGTGGGATGGACGGATGCAGTGCTCTGTCTGAGGGGGCTGGTGGCAGCGCGTCTGAGGGTGGAGCATGCTACACACTGATCCACCATCTGCAGGGGGTTCTGGATGTGTGGGCTGTTGGGCAGGGTCTGTGCTCACTGGGGGAGAAGGACTCTCTACTATTGAAGTTTTAAAGGATAGGTGTAGTCTTTGTTTTTAAAGTGTGTAAAAGAGGATGTTTTCAAATGATATTTATTTGGAAGTCATGAAAATCTGTTTATTTATTAGATTTTGTAATGTATTAGGTTTTTTCCAACTCTTTTGCAGGGTGGGTGTATAGTTCAAACAAATGCAAACACAATTTGTTTTAAAAATCTTATCTTACCTCAACTCACATTATCTTATCTTACCTTATCTTATGTTATCTTATCTTATCTTATCTCATCTCACCTTACCTTATCTCATCTTACCTTATCTCATGAACCCCCTCGTCCTGCAGGTTTTATCCGGACCAACATGACGGAGGGTCTTGAGGATTCGGAGCGTCTGATCCCTCTCCGGAGGTTTGGGACCGGACAGGAAGTGGCTCAGGCCGTCCTCTTCCTGCTGGAGAGTCAGTATATGACGGGGGCGGAGCTACTGGTGGACGGGGGGCTGCATCTCAGCATGTAGAACACACACACACACAAATTAAATTCTGTGTTTGAATGCCATCTGTTGCTTCTCTCTGTTGTATATCTGATTAAAGTGAACAGTGAGAAAGAAACTGCTTATTAAAGATGCCTATAAGAAGCTTTTACAAATAAATAAACTTCTTCTTCCTGTAAAAGCAGCACAAGTGCATTATGGGAATGTAAATACTATGGTGTTGATTCTTGAATAAAACTGTATATGAACTCTTTAAACTGTTTTATTCTCCAACATTATGTCTGATGACCACACACACACACACACACACACACACACACACACACACACACACACACACACACACACACACACACACACACACACACACACACACACACACACACACACACACACACACACACACACACACACACACACACACACACACACACACACACACACACACACACACACACACACACACACACACACACACACACACACACACACACACACACACACACACACACACACACACACACACACACACACACACACACACACACACACACACACACACACACACACACACACACACACACACACACACACACACACAGTTATATAAATATATACAATTTCAGAATCAAACAGAGCACTCTCATAATAACGTAACACTATCAGAGACTGGATATATCCCCCCCCCTCTCTGGTCGCTACAATGAGGGAAATAAATGACGGGCCAAAAGTTTTATTTACAAGTATTAAAAGTAAGCAGAGGACACCAAACCAACTGAGACCTGTCTGTCCGCCGCATCTACGCACACACTGTACCACACACACCTACACACTGTACCACACGCACCTACACACTGTACAACACACACACCTACACACTGTACCACACACACCTACACACTGTACCACACGCACCTACACACTGTACCACACGCACCTACACACTGTACCACACACACCTACACACTGTACCACACACACCTACACACTGTACCACACACACCTACAGCTCCTAAAGCATAATCAGGCTACAGCCGTTGTGTATTTTATTTTGTGAAGCACTAAATGGTTTTAGAAAAATATCGACTTTGTTTGTAGATATCTACTAAACTAAAGCAAATAAAGAGAGTCGGCCTGTTATACTGAGTGATATATATTATACACACTGCTCTGCTTTCTACACGGACCTCACAGCTGTTCTCTTTGGAAACATCGCGTCTGATGAAAGCAGTTAATAAAATAATATCCAGGGGATGCATGCAGAGCTGTGATTGGCTGAGATAAGTCCGGCCGTGCGTCTCGACTCTTTGAAACATCTCTGTTCCCGGAAATGCATCCACGAAGGAGCCGTGGAGGACTGTGGAGGACCCATCAGTGTCTCCTCGGTTAGAGCTCCTCCAGAGAGCCTCCTCGACGCTCGATGCTCGGTCCTCAATGTGCATTTAGAGAAATGAGATGTCCTTCAACATGGCGCGCTGAAATCCATTTCCGGGTCACTACCGGAGGACCGAGGAGTCGAGGAGGGGGAATTGATGAAATGAGATACGGCCACAGAGGGATTAGCTCTGGTGTATTGTGGTGCAAACATAAACAACTTAAGACCAAGACCAAACATGTACTTGAAAGAAATCTCAAGATAATACCAAAGGAAGGCCAATAGGGGTAGCTGCTCTCAGGAGGGAGTCCAGGAGAAAAGAGAGAAGGAAAGTGGCCTTCGCTCAGAATCTGTGTTACCTTCAAGGACAACGGGGAAAATGTACAGGTAACAAAACAGAGGACTAGACTTCAACTGTCACACACACTCCACAAGGTTTTGCCTCAGCTCAAGTTGAGCTCTCTGTAAAGATACGGGTCCAGCTCACGGAGAGCGTCGATCAGAACCCTGCTGGCTGCAGCTCCTTTTTTTCGCACCACGTCCAGCACCTCAAGTGCTCCGTCATTTCGGGATTTGGTTCTGGCTGACTCCATTTCAGATTCACTGATAACTCCAGACTCAAGGAGTTTATCCAGAAGGTCCTTCAGGACAGGTGGAGACACTCTTTCTTTGAACTCTGTCCGAACTGAGAACAGCCTCTGGTCTGCTGGGACGCTGCTCTCTGCTGGGACGCTGCTCTCTGCTGGGACGCTGCTCTCTGATGGGACTCTGCTCTCTGATGGGACTCTGCTCTCTGATGGGACTCTGCTCTCTGATGGGACTCTGCTCTCTGATGGGACGCTGCTCTCTGATGGGACGCTGCTCTCTGCTGGGACGCTGCTGTCTGCTGGGACGCTGCTCTCTGCTGGGATGCTGCTCTCTGCTGGGACATTTCTCTGGGGTAATTGCCGCCTTGGACCTGGTAGATAAACAGGGGAAAATGGGCTCAGGGCTTAACAGGTTAAAATGTATAAAATCTCCTACACCTATGTTATTCATGTTTTGTTGAGTTGTGTACGTACATTATCCCAAATGGTTCAGAGAGATGTGTAATTTTAAAGGTAACAGTACGTTCATCACGGTCTCCTGTAATGGCGGCGTATCCAATTAACCATTAGAAGATGAAGACTACAACTCCCATGATGCCACGCTGTTTCACCACCACACTACTTTTTACTATAGTTTAGGAATATAACAGGTTGTGTGTTTAATATCGTAATGATGCGCTGCCATGGAGCCTTAATAGAGAAGGCTATGAGATGGAGCTTTAGAGCTATCCAGTCTATCACTGGGTCTGAGCTCAGGTGGAGTCTTTACCTTCCAGTGATACGGGACAAGACCAGACGACTTTTCCATCTTGGTCCTTGACCTTCAACACCACTTTCTCTGTGCTCCTCGTCAGGTAAACTAGAAATGTCGGATGGTAATTTGGTCCAAACCTGGATTCAAATTTTTTACTCTGAAAACCAGAAGAAGAAGTTAAAAATTGATCTGGATCTTTCCTGATTGTGGATCCACATGCAGATAAATGTGTGTAAATGATCATTGTGTTTCTTTAGAAGAGTATCAGTGACTCACCTCAGGGTGTGTGAGGAAGCCCTCAGGTTCACAGTGCACACTGTATCTGTGATGAATGTGCAGCTCACAGTTGGAGGAGAGTCTGATGTTCACAGCACCTCCTTGTTGTTCAGCAACCTTCAGTAACAGGACATTTTGATCAATTTAAAACAACATATTGACAGACCTGCTCTACAGAGATATCAGAATTACAATCAATTAAGAATAACAGTGTGTGGACATATTGTGTGTAGATTAATTAAAGTGTATAGGTTAGATACTTTTTGATGAAATTCCACTCCAACACATTCTCTATATATGTATTAGGGTTGTCAACATTAAAGGTGGGGTAGGTAAGTTTGAGAAACCAGCTCGAGATCGCTAGAATTTGAAAATACACAACCGGAGAAAATCTGCCACTTCCTCACAGAGCCCCTCCTCCAACACACACGAACGCGCACATGACCAATGAGGGCACGAGATAAGTTTGTGCACAGATGGAAGGCTGACAGGCAGGTAGGCCATCCAGTTATTTTAGCCGGGCCGGCTCAGATGATTGGTCGTGCTTTTTACAGTACTACGGCTTCCACAGATGATATTTTTTAATGGATTTTTTGTCAAAGCACTTCAGATATTCATTGCTATCAGGATGTTAAGAGCATTCCATGGAATATAACAACAAGTGTATCTCGAGCCGGTTTCTCAAACTTACCTACCCCACCTTTAACGTGTCAAAACTCGCGATTAATCTGGAAACCTTGACGCGTTAAAAGAATGAATGCATATTAATCACATGACCAATTCCTGTATGCGATCACACAAGATGCCGGCTCTAATCCCTAAAAACTACCAGAGGGTTGGCTAGCCATGGCTAACATCAATATGATGTCTTCCAACACAGACTGACGGACGTGACGTGACGTGACGTGACGTGATTCAAGATGGCGCCTGTGTCGGCTCGCCGCTCGCTCAGCTCTCTACCTTTAGCTATCCTGTTTTTGTTTTATGTTTGTCAGAATGTCTCTGCTCTGCTCGTTTATGATCGCCAAGCTCTCCTCCACCTCAGACCCTCACTGGAGTTGATATTGCTGCCCAAACCTACATCTGGCAACCATAAATCGTCCCCCCCCCCCTCTACTGTCGGATATTCCCACTTACCTGCGCCGATCGCCCGCATCCTGCGCTTTAGACGACGGGGAAAGCGTGGTGGTGCACTGGTCCATCTTAAGGCATACCTGACGGCTTCTTCTGTGAATTATCCACGCCTCGGATGTCATGGCCCTCCCGCTGCACGCCATGTGAGGGATCGGTGGATTCGCCCCGTTTTTCCGGAGCTGCGGACTCTGCTGTGCCCACTGGCAGCTCCTCCTGCCCGACTAACTGCTCCCGGCCCGCGCGGCGTTCAACACGCACATCTTCGTCAGCTGAGACGCACTACACCTTCGGCAAGCCCGGAGCGAAAACTTTGCATGGCTTTGCTAAATGCTAGGTCGATAGCAAACAAAACGTTCCTGCTAAACGACTTCTTCACCTCTCGTGAACTGGATTTTATGTTCCTGACGGAGACCTGGGCTCACGCTGGCGAGTATACACCGTTCTCTGAACTTCTTCCTCCTGACTGTACATTCTTCAGCTCCCCCCGTGCCACTGGCCATGGTGGGGGCATAGCATCAGTGTTTAGAGCTAGCCTCCAAAGCCGATTGCTTCACCCTGTATCTAGCTATGCCAGCTTTGAGTTGCAGCTTTTTGAACTGAACCCGGCCTCGCCTATACTCTGCACAGTCGTGTATCGTCCGCCAAAGTGTAATAAGGATTTCATAAATGACTTTTCTGACTTTCTGTCCGGGATCATGGTGAAATATGATCGTGTTTTGATCTCCGGAGACTTCAATGTCCATGTGTGTTGCGAGTCCAAACCTCTGGTTAGGGACTTTTTAAATCTCCTTGATTCTTTTGGTCTCGTTCAGTCCGTGGCTGGCCCAACACACGAAAAAGGACACACTTTGGACTTAGTATTATCGTTTGGACTGTCTGTCTCTGTGGATGAAATATGTGCAGCAACGCGTATCTCAGACCATTTACCGGTTCTGTTTACAACCTCCATCCCTTCCGCAGGAGTCGAATCACGTGCCCCTGCGCGTTGTCTGCGTTCGATTAACCCCTTGACTGCCTCACAGTTCTCTGATGTTTTTAATGCTTCTCCGATCTGTAAATTAGATGTGAACTGTGCTTTTAATGCTGATGAGCTTATCTCCATGTTTGACTCGACATGCACACTAATACTGGATTCTGTTGCTCCTTTTACGCTTAGACGCGCCACAGTTCTATCAGAGCCGTGGCTCAATGACTGTACTCATGCTCTCAGACGCGCTTGCAGGCGTGCAGAGAGAAAATGGAAAAAGGATAAACTCCATGTCTCCCTAGAAATCCTTCGTGCTTGCCTTTCTGACTACCAGACGGCAGTCAAAGCAGCCAAAACAGAGCACATTTCTCTGTTCATCTCCAAAAACAGCCATAAACCTCAGGTTCTTTTTAATGTCCTCAACTATCATTTCTTCTATTGTCCCATCGACTACTCTCTGTGATAAGTTTCTTACATTTTTTATTGAAAAAGTATCTGCTCTTAGGCTAGCCCACACTAGTGCTACCCCAGATCCTGCTCCTTTTCTGTGCCCTGCTGTCCTCGACCACTTTGAGCCTGTATCCCTCTCTTCTCTCTCAGATGTAGTCAAGCACCTGCGGCCGACAAACTGCACCTCAGACAGCATTCCCTCTCGCCTTCTCAGAGATGTTTTAGGATTCAGTTGGAGTAAGTATTTTATTACTTTTAAACACCTCTCTTACCTCAGGATGTGTCCCAGCTGCCTTCAAACATGCTGTGGTTAAACCACTCCTTAAAAAGAAAAATCTCGACCCCTCCATTCTCGCAAATTTTAGGCCCATCTCCCAGCTGCCTTTTTTATCAAAAGCCCTGGAGCGAGTAGTCTACGCCCAGCTGCAGTCTTTTTTAACCATCCATGGAATCCATGAAAAGTTTCAGTCTGGCTTCAAACCCATGCACAGCACTGAAACAGCCCTTTTAAGAGTTTTTAATGATCTGCTCCTAGCCGCCGACTCAGGTAGCCCAGCTGTCTTGGTGCTGTTAGACCTGACAGCTGCCTTTGACACTGTGGACCATAGCATCCTGCTGTCACGGCTTGAACAGTCCGCTGGCATCACAGGCTCTGCCCTTGCATGGTTCAGGTCCTACCTGACAGACCATAGCTTCTCGGTACAGCTAGGTGCCTTCTCCTCTGCCAAAGCCCCTCTTACCTGTGGGGTTCCCCAAGGCTCGATTCTGGGCCCCATCCTTTTTCTACTGTACATACTGCCCCTAGGTTCAATACTCACAAAACATAACATTCCCTTCCACTGCTACGCCGACGATGTACAGATCTATCTGCCTCTCAAAGCAAATGTCACACACTCACTACAGCAGTTGATGGACAGCTTAGCAGAGATAAAATCCTGGCTGAGCAAAAACTTTCTCAACCTCAATGAGAGCAAGACTGAGGTCATCTTTTTTGGACCGCAACCTCCAGCCTCTCCGGTTGATATTCTGGGCTCTATCAAAAAAAACATCCTCCCCTCGGTCATGAACCTTGGAGTGACCTTCACTAGCACTTTTAAATTCGACAAGCAGGTCAGCACCGTAGTAAAATCCTACTTTTTTAAAATAAGACTATTGGCCAAAACCAAGTCGTATTTATCTTTTAATGACTTAGAAAGTGTTATTAACGCCTTTGTAACCTCGAGACTGGACTATTGTAACGCTCTGTATGTGGGTATGGACCAGGCCTCAATTAAACGCCTACAGCTAGTCCAAAACACTGCTGCACGTTTGCTGACTGGCCACAAAAAGCGTGACCACATCACCCCTATTCTGGCCTCACTACACTGGCTTCCACTTCGGCTCAGAATTGATTTTAAAATCCTTTTATTTGTTTTTAAAGCACTAAATGGGCTGGCTCCGGCCTATATAACTGAACTCCTCCAGCGCTACACCCCAGCCAGAGCTTTAAGGTCTGCTGACCAGCTGCTGCTGGTAGTGCCCAAGACCAGGCTCAAAACCCGAGGGCACCGAGCCTTCTCAGCAGCTGGCCCTAGGCTCTGGAACACTCTGCCCCTCCATGTGAGGTCGGCCCAGACCCTAGGGGGTTTTAAATCTAACTAAAAACACACTTCTTCTCTCTGGCTTTCTAGTTAGAGCGGAGCACGACTCCTGACTTTTCCGTGTGTTTTATTTTTATTTTGTTTTGAAGATATATCTGTTGTAATTTATTGTTGTTTACTGTGATTTGTAGTAATGTGTTTTTAATACATGTACAGCACTTTGGCTCGACCAAAAATCGCTTTTAAATGTGCTATATAAATAAAACCTGATTTGATTTGATTTGATGATGTCTAATGGAAGATCAAGGACAAAACTCCCCAGTTTTAATACTTAATGTCCGGCTCTGACCTGAGGACAAGCAAAGGATGTTGTAAAGCCACAACGAACCTTAACGGCACAAAACACACGGTTTAAGGATTTTTTGCTCCACTGATCTAAACAAATACTCCCCGTCGTCGAGACGTCTTGCCTGGTGGAAATTAGCAAATAGTTAATTCCTTTTCTTTATTCTTCTATTCTATATTTTAGCTCTCAATAACTTCAGCATACTTTCAGCTACAGAAACCAATTATCAAAAATATTCAGCCTTTTCAGCACATGATGGAAAACTTTAAATTACTTCAAAACTTTGTATACTTTTTGAAATATTCATCTTTTTAAACAATTTTTTGAACATGTAACTCAATGGGAGGAACCTTCAAATCCTCTTTTAGCTACACCGTGCACCAAATGCTACTCCTTCCACATACTTTCATTCCAACTTTAAAACAGACACAAGACATTCAGCTATTGAACTTGTATTCAGATTTTTTATATCTTCTATAGTTTTTTACTTATCCCAGTTTAGGTTTTGGTACATTTCATAATGGTTGTCTCTTGCCCCTTTTCCACCAAAACAGTTCCGGTTCAAGATCCGTTCTGTTTCTGGTGCTTAACTGGTTCTTCTCTTTAGTGTTTCCACCACTCAGAGCCCGACTGGTGCTGC